CATTTGAAATTGTTTAAAAATCTAGAGGAAATTAATTAATTATCTTAATTAATTTTATTTTAAGTTCTTTAATCACTTAATTAGTTATTTGATATTTTATATGTGATGACCATACTATGTCCTTTAACATATATTAAATTGAGATTATTTGGAATTGATTTGGAATTTAGAGAATTTAATTATTTTTATTTAGTTAAATTCTATCTAATTGCTCCATGGATTTAATTGTGTTTTGAAAGTTGTTTCTATGTTTAAATCATGGACTTGGACTTGTTGTATATTCACTTGGTTATGTTTTGAGCATGAGATAACATAGTTGTTATATTTATGTTCATGAAAATATGTTTTCATTATTGAATATATTGTTATCTTGTGTAATGAGTTGTACACTTTGTATTTGGCATCTTTCATGCCATAGTAGTTGTGGATTTAGAGCATGTATTGTATGTGTTTTCAAATTTAGTTATGCGTGATAGATAGTTGATTATCTTGTATATATATGTTGATATATATGCTGTTGCACAACTTGTTGATTTTAAAAACTTGGGGATGTCATTGTTTGACTACGGCTAGTACATGGTTCTAGTACGGGGAATTGTCCCTCTATAGTCTAGTGCGTACATAGGGAGATTACCCGTGGGCTAGTAACCCTAAAGTAACTATGGTGTTGGTCTTATCCGGCGTGATGTCCAAGTATCCACCTTGTTTGATTTCGCACTTTATTTTAAGTTGATAACTATATAATGTTGTAACTTGTTGTTCTTTATTTGATTTCCCATTTTAAGTTTCAAAATGTTAACTTTGAGAAATCATGTTTTATGCGTTGTATTAGAAGTTCTAATGTTGGTTAAATTGCATCGATATTGTGATTTGTGCTTTGATGTTCAAATGTAGCTTAGGAACAATCCTATAGATTCATTTAGAGCATAGACGTTAGGTTGCACGATCCACTTTAGTTATTTTCATATTTTAGATTTCAAGTTGAGGACTTTAAGAATCTATATCTTGTTACTTTGTATAACATGCTTCTATATTGTGTTAAATTGCATGAATGATGTGATTTATGCTAAAAATGATCTAAGGTAGCTTAGGATGCTCTCTGAGTCTCATCTTGACATAGACGTTAGGTGGCATGAGCTACTTTGACTTGTTTCACCTTAAGGTGATAATTTTGTAAAATGCTAAGTCTATGCATGTTCATCTCCTACAAGTAGCTTTATGTTACTGACCCAAAGTTACCGGGGACATTTTTCAGGTACAAAGACTTGGTTCATTATGCTCATCATTCCTTGGATGACTTGTAACTTTCAAGTTTCTATTTTATGCAAATGTTAGCATGAAATGTCATTTTGTAGCCTTGTGTATCAAAACTTATACCCTTGATTCCATATATGTAATGTGTATATAAGTACACTCTTTTCAATGTATTTGTCATGTATGAGTTGAGGCCATAGGCCAATGATATCTAATTTGTATTTTGTGCACTTTCGTTTTTAAGGTTTACTATGGAAATAATGGAAAATGTTAAGTTTTTGCTTCACCATGTTTGTATCGGGTGTGAGAATTCCATTCTTTTTCTTTCATAAGGTCTTTATGATCATGTATGAGGTGTTGCCAAGGGCCAAATACCATTTTGTTTTAGGCTTTGCATTTTGTTTCATTTATTACATTTTAAGGTAATTTTATGGAAAATAGAGGTTTGAGGGGTCATATTGTGCAATGGGGGTATTTTGAAGTCGTGGGCCACTGGGATGCGTCTTAAATGTCTTTTTACGGTTGCGTGCATGTCCTTATTTCACAAAACTCTTAAGTTTCAACTTTAGAACTATTTTTGGGTGATTTTATGAATTTTTATGAAAAATTCATACATAAGAGTGTCATTTGAAGTTCCTCTTTGTTTTAGCATGTTATGAATGCTTGTTTGAGTCCATGGGAGGTTTTAAAACTTGTACGGATCATGTAGAATGCATGCGTAGTCTTAGAAACGGACCGGGCATTTTCCATACACATTGCAGCAGCTTTTTCTGCTATAGTAGATGTGTCGGTTGGCTGATGAGAGCCATCAACCGGCTAACAAGCCCTCGAGACTCATTCCAGTAGCCTTTTTGTGAAAAATGGCGTTTCAGCCGACTGATGATTGGGGTTTAGCCGGCTAATGGTTGAGATTCGGCCAGTTGGTCCTTGCCATCGGTCGGCTGATCCTCCCTGGAGCTTCTCCATTTCAGTTCTTCTTGGACAACTTTGTTGCATCGACTTTAGAGGGTCATATCTCTTTCATTCTTAATCCAAATCTGGTCGTTCATGAGTCTAAATTCAAGAGCTTGAAGATAGATTTCCAATGATACTAACCACACTCCAAAACTCCAACTGTAGTGAGAGTTATTTCAATTTTACTGAGATAGGGTCGTGGTATCTCTTAAACGAATGATGCCTTTTTGTTCCATTTTCATATCTTTTCCGTCCGGACTCCGAATCAGGTAATTCTTGAGTCTAACTTCATTCATTTTCATTGTCTTTCCAATAGTGTGCATGGTAGTGCCCATTTCAGTTCGTAATGACCATTTTGCCCTTGGTTCATTCCTTGGAGGGTTTTGAAACCCTAGTTCCAGTTTTACTTCCCTTGAGTCACGGGACTCCTCGGAAGGTCACTCCCGTGTCTTAGGGATGATATACATCTCTATAGACTTGTTTATGTTTTGCTTCTATATTTTGGATCTGTTTTGGGTCATCACAGTGCACACTAGGTTTAAAAATCAAGGGTCAACGTCATATAGAGCCTTCAATTAAGTCGGTGTGACCTGATATTGTACTGGCACTAACGTCTGTCAAAGTTAGGTGAGAAAAATCTTTTTGATCTCAAAGGATTGTATGTGTCATTCTACTATCATCAAGACATATATCTTCACCATTTATTTTGGAACCAGTCAGATCCATTCCTATTCGTGCAAATTTCTTTATTAGAAAAGAAACAGATATAATAAAAGAAACTTTAATATAAAAGAAAAAAAAAAAAAAACTTTAATACAAGGAAAATAAAATCTTGTTGAAGATAACATAGTAGAAAGAACATGAAATGAAAATAGGATTAATTAGTATGGACATTTCCATCACCAATCAGGTGGTCTATCTTTCCATCACGGTCATCAAAAAAATATGATACATCCAGATTTATGTTGTTAACCTGGCTCGTCATGATCAATGAAATTCATTTCTTTTTGTTTTCCCTCTTCTTTCATAGAGGCTTGGTAAAGTTCAGCCAAATACTTAGGTAAACAACAAATACTTCGTCAATGCCCTGTCATTCCACACCGATAACAAGTATTATCATGTGCCATGGGAGGTTGGGCCACATCATTCCCTTTTACTTGTTTCATTTCATTCTAATCCCTCATTTGGGGATATGGTGTGAATCTTTGATTGCGAAAGTTTAAGGATTAATATCCTTCACAGTAATAGGAGTGATTCCTACCATGACCATATTCATTATTGTGGTAGTTATTTTTACCACGACTATATTCATTATTATAGCCATTTCTAGCACTACGATCATGTCTATTACCACATCCACGTCCACGGGATGAGGCAACATATGTTTCAGGGATCGATGTCGATCCAGTTGGATGAGATTGGTGGTTTCTTAACAAAAGCTTGTTATTTTGCTCTGCCACAAGTAAACATGATATCAACTCTGAATATTTTTCAAATCTACATGCTCGATATTGTTGTTGTAAGAGTACATTCGCGGCGTGAAATATGGTAAATATTTTTTCCAACAAAAATTCATTAGTTATGGTATCATCACACAATTTTAGTGTAGAGCTGATTTTAAATAGGACAGAGTTGTATTCAGCCATAGTTTTAAAATCTTGCAACCGCAGTTGCTACCAATCAACTCGACCTTTTGGGAAGATGACTGTTTTTTGATGATCATATCTTTCTTTCAATTTTTTCAACCAACTCAGTGGATCTCTTTCAGTGAGATATTCAGTTTTTAGTTTCTCACTAATATGGCAACGAAGGAAAATCATAGCCTTCGCTTTATTTTGTAATGATGAATCATTCTCTTCTTTAATTATGTTTTCAAGACCCATGGCATCTAAATGGATCTGAGTGTCCAGAATCTAAGATAAATAATTTTTGCCAAAAATATCCAAGGCCACGAATTCCAGCTTTGTTAAGTTTAATATTTTCATAATAACTAGATGTAACAACAATATAAAAATACAATTTAGCATAGTATTAAAATAAACATATATCTTAATAATAAAATGGCATTAAGTGAAACAAGAATATAATATGAATTATTATAATTTCAATATAATTAAACAACAAAGACGGTAAAATCAGCCATAGTGAATAAATTATTAAATAATAAAGGAGGTAAAACCGGCCATAATTAGTAGATCATTAAATAATAAAGGCGATAAAACCGATCATAATTAGTAGATCATTAAATAATAAAGACGCTAGAACTGAACATAGTTTTAAATAATAAAAGCGGTAAAATTGACCATAGTTAGTAGATTATTAAATAATAAAGGCGGTAGAACTGACCATAGATAGTAGATCATTAAATAATAAAGGTGATAAAACCTATCATAGTGTGACCACATATATCACTTAAGTGGACAAATTAATTTCATGAATAATAATCAATAATTAAGATTTTTTTACTCTTAACAATCTATCAAAATTAATATCACAAAAGGAATATATAGATTTAAGACAGGGAGAGAGCTTTTTTATTCAAATCTTAGATGACTAAAGCCTGTGCTGATAATGTCTTATAACATCTTATATATATATATATATATATATAAAGTAATATTATTGAGGGAGACATCTATGGACAAAAATAGAAGCTTTCAATGTAAGTTCCTAATGTAGCCTTTCTCCCCACGCCAAGAGGTATGAGGCTTATCTTTGAAGCCTTAAAATGTGGATCCCACCTTTTTTGGAACGCAAGGTTGACGCAACCCTCGTTTACTACTAGTACCATAGAAAGTGGTTATCACCGTAAACCAGTCCACCAAGATTCAAAATTAGACCAGGAGTTCGTAGCATTATTTTTCGCTCTCTCATACACAGGCGCACTGTTCCAAGCTCGCGGCAATGCAACATGTCGACCGGCGACGATGCCACCACCACCGGACCAAACCCCACTCCACATATACAAATATATCGTGATTCTATCTCAAGACACGGTTCTCATTCTCCAAATCCTACCCAAACCCACCAACTCCGCACCTCCGACTACATCGACTTCGACAACGAAGAACTCTTCAACTCCATCATCGACCTTACCGCCGATCAACACCACGAACACCAAGGCAGCCGCTCCTCTCCTACATCAAAATCATTCATCAATTGGCTTCCCATCCTCAAATTTTTCGGTGTTTCTTCATCCAATTCTTGCCATGGATCCTGCTCAATCTGTATGGATGACTTCGAATTGTATTCAGGGGTGAATCAATTGCCGTGTAAGCATGTTTTTCATTCAGATTGTATCGTTCCGTGGCTTCGTAGGAGCAATTCGTGTCCCTTGTGTCGGTACAAGTTACCGGCGGAGCAAAATCCGAAGAAGTTGAAGAGGTATGCGGTGAGTTTGGGGGATCAGGAGGGCGGATTTCATGATGCAATGTTAAGGAATGGGTATGTTCAGGCAAGGATACGGTCGTCTTCTTCTTCTTGGTCGCTTAATGGGCAGATTGGGAGTGGTTTGGCAGCGGCTGGAAATAGTGAGGACTCGGTTTCAAGCCCGTTGGTGCAAAGGGAGAGTGATGCTACGGTTGATGAAGATGGTGACACTTTCATGCTTGAGTCATGACTCCTTTTGGGGCTTGAAAGAATTTTATGTTTTATTTGTGGATACGTTTGGGAACTATATATGTTAACTAGAAGCAGAACACCAATTTCTCATCTATATCAACTACATGGTTTAAAGAGTCAATCTGTGATAGCAACAGTTGCTATTATGACAGAATATTTTACTGAAAAAGAGTAAAGTTGTGATAGCAACAGTTGCTGTTATTTAGAAATGATAGATGGCACTAGAAATTGACCTAGTCATGTGCCCTATTATATTGTGCTAAGTGTTGAAGAGACGGTAGCTCGCTTGATGTACCAGGGGTAGCCAGAAATTTTAATTTGGGGTGATTAGTACTATATAACTTAAATTTGACATTATAAGCATATATGATATTATTGTTGTTTTTTATATACACACAAATACTATAGTTTATCCTCTTTTCCATGCACCTAGGACTCCCCAATGGAGATTGATATATAGTTTTCAATATTTTTTGGAAATACCATTTTACAAAAATGTTTGACAAAAAATATTCATGAATTTTTCTTAATCAAGAGGGAATATTAGGGATTTTTCTCCCTTTTATTTTTTTCTCTATTTAATTAATATAATAACATGTTTGGGAGCACTTAATCCTCCGATTACAAATCCAAAGCTGATATTATTTTTGTTGGGTGGGGAAGGGGTTCATGGTCCACCCTGGCCCACCCCTAGCTCCACCCCTAGACGTACTTCAGTGTCTACTGGTTCAGTTTAACGTTATTAATTGAATTTGATATGTAATTATCTTAAATTTTAAAGAGTTTTTACATGTCTGCTTGAATCTAATGGATTCGTTCACAATTTTACATGGTACTCCAATGTAGAAACTTAGCGTTGTGAATGGATTCATCTAAGAAAATAGTAGCCACCTCAAAAATGAACCTATGCGAAAAAGATATTGTGAAGTTCATTTTATTTATTTATGGTCCAATTCAAGATGATTGGAAGTTTTACACCAAAATGCTAAGTAGATTGTGAATGATATCATTGAAAGCAAAGAGATAAACAAACGGGCCCTAAGAGTATTCTTACATCACTTTTTAGAAGTTGAATATTATGTTCGAATTTCAAATCTTTGATTAAAATCACAGGCACTTACCATAATTACAAAAAAGTTTATTACAATAGTTGAGGTTTAGAATTGTGAATCGACTGAAATCTTCTAAATTGAATATCATATGATGACTAGAAGAAGAATGTCTTGCATTGATTTAATTGTTTTAATGTACAGGTTCTGCATGTGGTCTCCATTATCATTTCTTTGCATTTGTTTCTGTTAGCAAAGTATGTCATAAAGCCAAAGATCCATTGAGTCCTTTGCATTTGGTTGAGCTGAGTGTAGAACAGAGTTTCTTGCTTGATTTTACAAGTGATGGATGTATAATTTAAATACCCATGGATAGGGAAAGAATGTTAAAGTAACGCACTATCTCACAAGATTGAGATATGCTCTACAGACTAAGATAATGATTACAGATTACGATAAGGATTACAGACTAAGATAAGGATTACAGATTACGATAAGAATTAAGCCTACGGAGTATGATAAAGATTAAGACGACGGGAACTCTATGTAACATCTTGACCTAAGCCTTATAAATAAAGGGGGCTAATCAACGTTTTGAGGTACGCAATAAATCCTAACTCAATTTCTTGATTTTTCCAGAGAGATATTACTTCGCACACTGACTTGTTCGTCGGAGTCTACTCCACCGGTAACACACCGGTGTTGGTAGGATCACCTTTTCTTCTCTTTGTTCAGGAAGTCAGATTAGATTCAGGTTGTGTAGAATCCACCATCAACAACAATTGTATGAGTTCTCGAGAAAAAATGTTTCTCTTACTCTGTATTTCTCTTACTATGTATCCTTCAAGCTGTTCTTCATGTGCCTTTATAACCTTTAATTACTATTGTTAGTTCCCATGGCACAAATGTGTAACCCCATTTTTATTTGCTACAATACTTAAGCCCTAAAGGGTTTAATTTCAATTTTGTCAACTAATTTAAACATGTCTTTTGGTTTGATTTAATGGAGTGTGTTAGGTCATTAGGACTTAGGATGACAAATTTTGTAGAACAAAGCTGAGTTTGTCTTTTGTTTTAATTTAGTTTTGAAACTGTTCAAAAGTTAGTTGGTGTTAGTAACCTCCCATGGTCAAATATGAGATTTGTGATGTATTCAAAGGGTATATTGGTAATCTTTGTCTACAAGGGTGTAAAGGTAAAGTTACACACTAATACATTCACCAATTAGGGTTCATGAATTGCATATCTAGGGTTTCAGTGTTTACGTTAATTCAATCATTTAGATTCCCTAAATTGCTATAAACTTGCATGGAAAAGATTTTGGAAACTTCCTCAAGGAACATGTTGTAAGTTAGGGAAAAAATCATCTCCTGGTCACCTCTCACCGGAGGGTGTCCATGGAGAGTAAAAAGGGTGATGTGCCATCTTCAGTGAAATCTTGAAATTCAGTGGAAAAAATATAGAGATTAAAATTATATTCTATTTTTCAGTGATGGTATTACATCCAATTTATAGAATAAAACCTAGCTAAAGTAGGTAACTAATTACCTACCAATTAGCCCTAAATCAGGGAAAAAATAAATCAATCATACAGCTGTACTATAAGAGATAAAATCTCAACACTCCCTCTCAAGTTGGTGCATAGATGTCACACACACCCAACTTGTCTAAAATTTTTGAAAACACTTGATTTGAGACTGCTTTGGTGAGAATGTCAGCTAGTTGTTCCTCAGATCGAATCTTAGCCAACTCAACAATTTTTCCATCCAACTTCTCCTTAATGAAGAATCTATCTATTTCGACATGCTTCGTACGATCATGTTGAACTGGATTATGGGCAATATCACATGCTGCCTTATTGTCACAATATAGTCGAATCGGTTGCCCAGGTAAATAACCCAAATCTCACAAGAGATGTCTTAACCACAAAGTTTCATAAAGTCCAAGCGCCATACCTCTGAATTTAGCTTCTGCACTCGAGCGAGCAACAACATTTTGTTTTTTACTTCTCCATGTAACAAGATTACCTCCCACAAAAGTGAAGTAACCAGAGGTAGATCGCCTATCATCTATAGCTCCAGCCCAGTCAGCATCAGTATATGCATCTATGTTTTGATCACTAACATTTTTAGTGAACAAAATTCCTTTTCCAGGAGCAGATTTCAAATACCTCAAAATGCGCATAACTGCATTCATATGTTGCTCTCCAGGATCATGGATAAACTGGCTCATAATGCTCAATGCATAAGCCAGATTCGGTCTCGTGTGTGTTAAGTACATCAATCTCTCTATAAGTCTTTGGTGTCTTCCTTTATTAGCAGGTACTTGGTTGGACTCAACACATAACTTCAGTCCTTCTTCCACTGGTGTCTCAGCTGGTTGACATGCTGTCATGCCAGTCTCTTGTAATAGATCTAAGGCATATTTTCTTTGAGATAGAAAGATTCCTTTATTAGATCGAGACACTTCAATCCCAAGAAAATATCTCAAATGACTTAAATCTTTCATTTCAAATTATCTGGACAAGTACTTCTTGAGAGCCTTCATTTCTTCATGATCATTCCCTATAACCACCATGTCATCTACATATACAATGAGTGTAGTTATCTTACCCTGTTGTTTCTTCAGAAATAACGTGTGGTCTGAATTGCTCTGACGGTAACCAAAGGCTATCATAGACTTTGTGAATCTTTCAAACCATGCTCTTTGAGATTGTTTCAACCCATATAATGATTTCTTTAACTTGCAGACCTTTCGACTATACTTTTCGGGTATCATGCATCCTAGTGGGAGATCCATGTAGACTTCTTCAGATAATTCACCATGCAGAAATGCATTCTTCACATTGAATTGTTGCAATGGCCAATCCAAGTTCGCAGCTAAAGATAACAAAACTCGAACTGTGTTGATTTTGGCTATAGGTTCGAACGTCTCTGTGTAATCGATTCCATAGGTTTGGGTATAACCTTTCACCACTAATCTTGCTTTAAAGTGTTCAATTGTGCCATCGGCTTTATATTTCACAGTGTAAATCCATCGACGTCCAACTGGTTTCTTTCCTGGTAGAGGATCAATGAGTTCCCAAGTTTCATTTTTCTGCAAGGATTTCATCTCCTCATTCATAGCTGCCTTCCACCTAGGGTCAGCTAAGGCTTCCTGCACACTGTTAGGAATAGATACAGTAGATAATTGATTTACAAATGACAAATTTGATTCTGACAAATGATGGATCGACACATAATTGCTCATGGGATACTTAACTTTACTAGAAAGTTCGGGTTCATATGTGGGTTTATGTTGGTCCTATGGTTCTCTAAAGACTTGTTTGCCTGTTAATGTCAAAAAGCAATAAAAAGGTGTTGGTTCAGTGAGTTTAAATGCTTGTCCATCAGTATTGTGGGTTATTATATGTTATGGGGCAGCAATGCCATTTACATGAGTGTGGCAGATTCTTCTCTCCTCATTTAACTAAATTGGATGTCTATAGCAGAATTCAGTATATAAGGATTCTGCAACAGGTGCTTACAGGGGCAGTTTAGTACTTTCTTAGATGTATTCCATTAAGTCTCGTTTGCCTATTCAGCTGCATTGCACTGAAGAACAGTACCTTAATCTACATTGTGATTAATACAGCCTCAACATATGTAGTGTACTGCATGGTATATACAGCTGGTGCATGGGTGGTTTTTGAGCTGATCTGGTATATTCAAGAGTGTGACACGTGGTGGTGGTCCTAAAATATTGTCCTCCAATGATGCTGCAAAGCTTAGAGGCTAAGCAAAGAAATGTTCTTCAGTGTACCTCACCTATATAGTGCTTTTTTGTTGGTGCATAAGATGTCACTGTATGGTATGAAATTAAGGGTAATATTGTCCTTTCACTGAGAGAATGTCAGTAGGGCCCATGCATAATCATTGGTTGAGAGGTGATAGCTAGAGCTGAGATGAAATGCAGCCAATGAATTGCATTGTTCTTTATATATGTTGTTAAAAGAGTCTCTAGGGGTGTGACATCCATAGCTAGGATCAGCTGCAGGCTTGTTATAACCTTCCAATGCAGACCAAGCTCTGATACCAATTGTTGAACCAAGAGGGGGGGGGGGGGTGAATTGGTTAAACTTTCTTTTTACAAGTCAGCAAAGTAGGTAGATAATACACATTCAAGCATTAACACAGATTTACAAGGACACCCTTCCAACAAGGGAAAACCTTGGTTCTTGGCTTTAGCCAATAAAGTCCACTACTAGTTGTATGTATTTTGTTACAAGCTCAGCTGTCTCACCCTCTGCACACACCCAAGCACAAGAATGAAAGCTAGTTTTCACAACCAATACATACACTAGATGATTTCAGCACACATACACACTCCCCCTGTCCTAA